AAGGAAGGAAGGAAGGAAGGAAGGAAGGAAGGAAGGAAGGAAGGAAGGAAGGAAGGAAGGATAAAAGAATCTCTAATGAAATTGGTAGAATAAATATTTTAAATATTCCTTCACTCACACATTTTTGTAAAACCTCACTACAGGGACTTCCTTGCCCTGTTTATACCAACCAAAAAGCCTAACATGTCCACCTTGGTGACAGGTCTTTATTTCACTTATACATGTGCCTATAGTTGCTAGCTATGATAGCTAAGGATTTTGGCATCGGTCATTAATCTATTTCACTGGAACAAAGGTTACAAAGGAGCAATGACCTGTCTTTCTTAAATGGCATCTAATACTCTTAAAATGGACACTCCAGTCACCGACAGCACCCAAGGATTAGGAATCCCTGACTTTTATTGTGAAACTCATTGATTTCTACCATTACTATGCATAATCATCAACCAAATTACCACTCATCATCATACGTTTTATTCGTCTGCTTTCCATGGCAAGGTAAGCTGGAGTTGGTCCACTGTCCAGAGCAAATGATATATTCTAGAATCTGTAATATAAAGAAGAAGCCAATTAAACTACCTTATTACATTTTACTAAGCTGCTCCAGACCAATTATAACCATATTTCTTTGTGGCCTAATTAGGTTCAACTCAGTTCCACAGTGTGGAAGCCCATAATGAGTGAACACATGAGAAACACAGTTCAGACTCCATGTGAGAGATCATTAATATGCTCTGGGCTGCTGCTTTGGAAGAGGCTGCACCTAATTACGTGGGTTAATGCACTTAAACTAAATGGATGAATTGCAGCCATTTTCAGTGTTTCAAGGCCCCTTAGACTGACAGAACTGTAGATTAATAAGTTGTTAGAGAGTGATCTGTTGACCCGCCCCATCCTTCTTCACTTTCACTCCATATGTTCTTAGAGGCATGAAATTCTAAAGTGGAGAAATGTGCCAATCACTGCCATTTCCATTGTGTTGCTCTCTCTGGCACTTGCCTAAGAAATGATCAGAATTGGTGAAGAGCAAAATACAATGCCTGATATGTCGAATAATTTGGACATTTGGATCAAAATGCACCAGGCACAGGAGATAACAGGCACTTGGGGAGCACAAACCAGCTTAGATAACAGACTGAACTCTGTTCAGCCAGCAGTGGCTGTCTAGAAGTCAGGCATATAGTCTGAAGTTAATGTTATAATGAAAGTATAAGTCATGCAGACCAGGCAAGTTATCCTAGCGTAAAATCAAAGGCCAAGTCAGCTGGGTCTATTCACATCAGCAAAGAGACAACTTAGGGAGTATTTAACAGAGGCTGCAAAAAATGGGATGGAAAGGCTGTATTGAATCACATTTTTAACCACTTTTTTTGATGAAAGAAAAAAAAAGAGGTATCAAATTACATCAGTAGGAGCCAAGTTTACCTTCCCACCAAAAAAAAAGGGGGATTGTTTTTGTTGGGTTTTTTTCCTCATGTGGCAGTAGACCTTTGAAACTCCTTTGCAAGCCACAAACTGATCAGGAAATCCCCTTAATGGAAAATATAGGAATGGAGTCTGAGAGATTATTAGGGAGGAAGGATCATAGGTAGTTTTTCTGTCCCCTAGGTGATTGTTTATGGCCAGTGTTGGATAGCTGATATAGACCATTGAGATTAGTCAACAGAACTGTTTATGGCCTGTCTTGCAGGGATTAATGCTCCTCAGGAGTTCATTCTAGTTAGATTAAACAGCCATCTTCCCAGCACAGTGGATTTACTTATCCTGTAAAAATTTTCACGTGTATCATCAAAGTGGCCCAAGGGTCAAAAAGATTGTTGGGCAGTAGATGGCAGGTACAACAGTGTCAGTTTTGACACCTATATCCCTTTGTAGGTCTCGCTTTGGGGAACGGTCCCCACTTGCAAAAATCTCAGATCTGATATATTTCCCTGGCTTCTGAAAAGTTTGTCTAAGCAATAACAAGATACGTGCCAAATAGATTTGCTTCTCATTTTCACACTTGTCCTTAAGGCACTAGAGACAAAAACTGCTTCCTATTCCAGTCCCCATTATGAGGACCTGACAACTTAATAATTGAATTGGGTACTTAGCTCACTATGTTTCTGTTGTGTTTCTTTTAATTTACTTTGTCAGGATCTTTTAAATTTTTATTCCACTGTTGCCAGCATGCTCTAGCTCCTCATAATACCCATAAAACCAGGTTTTATTAGATTTTGCCCATCATATCCAGTTATCATATTAACCCTCTACCCCATGATGGCTTGAAGAATCTGCCCAAATTAAACTGCATGTGTTGGAAAGCTTTGAGCTTTGTGTCTCTGCCTATGATATTGTAAAAAAAAAAACAAAAAAAATGTGTCAGTGCCAGAAAAATCTACGGCACCTGGACTGGGGCAACAGCTGCTATCAATACAGGTTGGGCAGAGAATGGATTAAGAGCAGCCCTGAGGAGAAGGACTTGGGTGTGTTGGTGGATGAGAAGCTCTTGTAAGAAAGACTGGGAGAGACTTTTTACCAGGGCTTGTAGCAACAGAACAAGAGGTGGTGGTTTTACACAGAGATTCAGATTGAACATACAGAATAAATGTTTCACAGTGAGGGTGGTGAGACTCTGGAACAGGTTGCCCAGAGAACTTGTGGATGTCCCATTCCCCGGAGGTTGATGGAGCTTTGAACAACCTGATTTAGTGAAGGATGTCCCTGCCCCATGGCAGGAGGAAGGTTGGACTAGATGATCCCTGAAGGTCTCTGCCAACCCAAACCATTCTCTGATTTAGTATGAATATACTCTTTTATAGCAACCTTAGTGAACAGTGGTTCTTTGAAATAGTATTTGCCATTATAACCAAGTCTGTAATACACAACAGGGGGGAGGAGTCTGTCTATGCTGCCACGTGGAGATTTCATGCTTGCTCTAAGCCAGGCAGCCTCTATAGTTTCAGCAGAGAAAAACTTCACCTGGGTCATCGGTGCCAAATCCATCTGCTGTGTAAACTGGCTCATTGAAAGCTCCATCAGCCTGTCCCTGCACTGCATCATACTAATGAGGTAATCACTGAGCTTCTAATGAAGGGGATTAGCAAATGGGCAAGGATTGTTTGTTCTGGATCCCTTGTTCAAATGCAACTCGGGGCTCTCAAAATATTTGCTTGCAATCAGCTACGAGCTGGGCACGTTTCAGCTCTTACTAACTAGATGAAAATAATTTTCATCACTCTAGGATTTGCCAAATTTGCTGATAGAGTCAGCCTGCCGTTTGTAGTGGCTATAAGGAGGCAGCTCTATTGCAGAAGTAAACTCTCTCTGCAGCAAGGTAGAGCAGTTGGTATCAGAATTTGTAATTTCATGCCAGTACTAGGCTTGGTTGGAAAAAAAAAGTATCTTCTATTAATTAACTTTTCTTAATCGCATTTTTTGCATATTTAATATTACACACAATGATCCAGTTATGTTGATTTTTTAGGACAGATCTAGACAAAAACCACCAGAAACTCTTGGCTCTTTTTTTCTTCAGCAAACTGAACTGCATTGATTTAAGAAGTTTTACAGTTTTGACCCTGAAGGAGCTTAAGCACCTGCAGGATTTCTCTGAGCATTTTCAATGCTCAACCTTTACTGACGAAAGACTGTGTCAGCTTTTTGGAAAGGAAGCATGTAATTGAAATCAGTGCAGGTGAGAATCTAGTTTAGTATTTGTTATTCTTTTCTAAACCTTGACAGTAACCAAAAATCCATAACACATAGAGGTAGCTGACTGTTGGGTTTTTTTTCTGGTGAGAAAAAAAATTTTAAAAGATGTAACTTTTAATGAAGAATAAAAAACATTATTTTGTGAAATTATCTTCAATAATTCCTATGACATTTTAATTAAAACCATTTTTGAAGTGCTTTATTTACTGGAGGAAAACTGCATTTATAGTACACAACACATTTAAAGAAAAATTTAAATGGCATTTTCAATCATGTTTTCAGCAGAAAAGATTGTGGGTGAAAATGGAACAAAGTCCAAAATGCTGATTGCGTTGAAACCTATGAAATGAATTCCAATGCAAAACTGACATTTTTTCATGAGATGCCCTGCTTGATGTTTTTTAACAGATTAAAGGTCTTTCTTTCTCTTTAAAAAAAAATTGTAACAATATCTTTTAATGTTTATTTGTCCTGCACTTCCAGTAGTGTTTCTCATAAATACATGTGGCGTTCTGCGCATACAATGGGATTAAATAAGCATCTAATTGATGTGCTTGCAAATGGCACAGGAAATTGTGAAATTACATAGATCTGGCAGATCTGTGCACAGTAGGAGAATCTGAGCTAGATTATTTTTAAAATGTACAAAAAACGACAACAAAAATGAATCAAACAAAACGTTTTGACTTTCACGGGTTTAAATGAGCAGAACTGGAGATAAAGGAGCATGTTAAAAACACAAACAATAAAGATTAATTAACAGCTACATATCTTACAGCACTGTGTATTAAATCTGGAGGCAAAAAAGAAATAGCATTCCCCAGATACACAGGGGACATAATTAAAATCTGTACCGTAAGAGAGAACATGTCAGCAATGACAGGGAAAAAAAAATAAACAAACCAAAACCGAAAAATTATTCACAATTATAGTAACACACAGTATAAAACTTAGCTTTTCTGTCATACAATTAGTGTTTGTTGGCTATAGCAGTTTTAATGCGACGTGATCAGTAAAGCAGACGTTGACGTAGGGCCTGAATGTGAAATGCTTTGAGACTCCATTCCACGTCACAGGGTGATGGCAGGCTCTGCAAAAGCAAGAATAACTGATTAAGTATCCACAGGATTCCCAGAGACTTGCTGATGGCCAGTTGTTACTCATGGAAGGGTGGCTACTCGAGGTGGTCCCAAATGCACAGACAAAACCTGAAGGATGGTGCACCTTGTTTTAAAAATACATTTTCCTGCCAAGTGGACTAAGTATAGAAGCCAGAGTGTGACACCGATGCACTTTGAAGTAGAGAACAGATTGAGGAAATCTTGTCTCTATTCCATCTTTCCACACAATGAAACCATTAGACACTTCCTCTTGATAGGAAGGACTCATTATAACCTGTGTAGATCTCTAAAACATAAAACGTTTACACTATTTATGTAGACAGTTAATGGAAATAAAGAGGAAAATTTTAATGAAAGTGCACATTTCTCTCCAATTACTGCAAAAGAAGCCTCTTAGGAAAGGCATCAGCAGCAAGATAGCACCTCCAAGATTGACATCAGCACTATAGACTTCTGAAGTCAAACAAATTGTATTTTTCCACTCACCACCCCATGAAGCACGCCTGTGTATTTGTAGTAAACATCACTATGAAAAATATAAACAGGCTTTTGTAGTGTTTGTGTTTATTCTGCCTCTACTTCCTTGGTGAATGTTGTTTGTACAGATACACTATGCAAGAAAATCTGGTTAAACTTGGTATCAAGGGAAAGGAAAGGGATGCAAAAATAGTCTGTTGTTATAATTGCGTTCAGAACTGAGAAAAACTTTTTTCTCTTTCCTTTTTTTTTTTTTTTTAATACAGGTGAAAGCTTTAGAAACAACCTTTGTTTTAATTATGCTTTACTGTATGCAAACAAGGTGTTAAAACAGACCAGAGATCAGACAACCCCCTCTCTCAAAGCAACAAAATACAAACCCACACACATGTTGTTATTTATAACAACTATTACAATTGTTCAGAATAAGATATTATTTAGATAATCTTGTGAAATCAGATGTCCATTGTGTGCTGTAGTGCATATACAAAGCAGAGAAGACAGTTCCTGCCTTGTATTCACATAAACACCACAAAGAGCTAATAGAAATACTCTTCTTTAATAAGAAAGGGTACCCTTCTGAAGATGATATTCATCTCAGCTAATTTTAGGTGTAAGTATCACCATCTGAGAATAATGGCTCTGAGGCTCCAGGCTCTTATTACAGTAATTACAGGTCTAATCAATACAGCCAATGGATTTTTAGGGTGGGGGTCATTTGAATAAAGGCATCGACTTCAGAATGACCTAAATTTCAGTGGCTCATATTGACTATCATTAACTACGGAGGGATCTTCAGGATGACTTTCTCAGATACAGAAATACACGCTGTGGACACCTAAATTTAGCTGCACAAGTTCAGTACTAGAAGTCCTTTTAATATCACAAAAGGATTTGCTAGAGTTACTCAGACAAGTGGAAAGGCACTGGAAAGGGAACGAATGCTACTAATCATATAACCCTTCCATCCTCTTTGGAACCATTCTCACTTCCCTGTTCACTTAATATTTCACCTTCTTTTTGTCAAAGAGGGAAGGCGGTAAGTAGAAAACTACCTGAAAAGGAAAGAACATTTTTACAGGTGCCAATCTCGAGTATTTTCACACTCTGTGCAAGTCACAGAATCATAGAGTGGATGAGGTGGGAAGAGACCTTTCAAGGTGATCAAGTCCAACTACTACAACTCATCCTGTATTCATAGGAGAGGTCCTCCGTCCCTCTGATAACCTTCGTGGGCCTCCTCTGGACCTGCTCCAACAGGTCCATGTCTCCTTGTGGTGAAGACTCCAAAGCTGGACACGGTACCCCAGGTGGGGACCCACCAGAACAGAGCAGAGGGGTAGAATCACCTCCCTCACCCTACTGGCCACGCTTCTTTTGATGCAGCCCAAGATGCAGTTGGTTTTCTGGGCTGCAAGCCCACACTGCCATCTCACGTTGAGCTCCTTATCAACTAACACTCCCATCCCTGAAACATCTTTGTGGACCTTTGATGGACGCACTCCAGCATGCCCACGTTTCTCTTTCATCCTGGAGAGCCCAGCAGTGGACACAGCACTCCAGATGTTTCTCACCAGTGCTGAGTGGAGGGGAAGAATCACCTCCCTCGACCTGCTGGCAATGCCCTGCCTAAGCCATGTGTGTTAACACCACAGAACTGCCAACCTGGCTTGTCTGGATTTCCTACCACTGTCCTCAGTGCCATCTCATTCATGCCAGGCAATCAACGACCATGTGACGCAAACGCAATCCATCAGTAAATGACTAATTCAAGTCAATCACTAGCAGATGCCTGCCTTAAATGAGCTGGCCATGCTCCTTTATGATTAACGTGTGGATGTGTGTATGTAAACACGTGTATGCACATATATGTGCGAATAAGTGAGAGTTTAAGTGTGAGCCCACACATGCCTGTGTGCAGGGGAGGAGGAACGCAGTCCGATCAGATCCTACGGACCTTGGACAAGCTTTTTCTCTGAGGACTAGGATGAAGGACGCCATATGTTTGACATGAAAGCAAACGCTACGACCAGCACAAGCCATTACTCTTGGCAGGCTCTGCAGCTACTGGGGATTATGAATCTTGATTTGCAGGCAGGGAAAATATTCAACATTGCAAAAGCCATTTAAATTAGAAATAGATAATCTACAGGCTTGGCTCTTGAGTGTAACAAGAGAGATTCTCCAGACACAATCAAACTACAAGATGTATTGGGCCAACAAACCAACAGACTTAATAAATGTTTCTGGTTTAGTTGGGGATAAAAATGAGTTATTTTTCATTACTGAAAAGAGTTTGAGTTCTGTTGTACTTTTAGGTTTTGATTAAAGAGAGTTTTTCCTATTTGCTGCAGTAATAGTTATGCTGAGTTTAGCAGTTCTAGTTATGGGCTATACAGTCTTGTGTTAGCTACTATACAAATAAAGAATTAAAATACAATCTCTAGGGGAAAAAAAAAATAAAAATTATGCTGGGGTAGATCTTTGGGTTTTTTTATATCTGGGGAACTTTACCTGCAGAAACCTGGGTGACTCAAGGCATTGCCCATCCGTATTTCAGTGAGTCATTTCTATAACCTTCATTGTCCATGAAAGAAAACAGGCATATTTATCTTGATTTTTATTTTTTTTTCATGCATAAAGAAAGGAAGGGGCAAATTAAAAAAAAACAAAACAAAACCAAACAACCTTGCTGGTTTCAGGCTGAAAAGATTGCTGTCCTGTGCAGGCTGACACATCTCTTTACTGTGAACTGCAAAAATGGACTGTAAAGAGCTGCTCCAGTTTTCTGGTAGCTCTAAGCTGCAATAGGGACCTGAGCTATGGATCCACCCCAAGGCCCTCCTTGGCTTCAGAGAAGCAACTCTCACCCCTTTGGGGTTTACAGTGTAGACTCTTGCTCATTTATTTAGTCTAGCCTGTTTTGCCTGTAAATTAAAGAGCCAGTCTCATGGGAAGATAAATTATCCAGAATAATAAACCAATTTGATCCTACCTGCTGTTGTTTTGAATCAAGTGAGACCTCTCTCTTTCCTCTAAGTAAATGTGATGACACACATTACACTAAGTAAGTTCTGATGATGCAACTTTTGACTTTTGCAAATTTATACACATTTAAGGCTTTTTGATAGACATTAACCTCAATGAACTTCTTTGTTGGAGAAGGCTCATCCACATAAATTGTAGTCCATTATTAACAGTAGTCGACCATTATATATGCAGAGATTTTTGGCTAATTGAATGATTCCTTGAAAGTGTGAAACAATGGTGTTAATTACAAGCTGAGATGATGAAACAAATGACTGAGATGCCTTTAGTAAAGCCTGTTTTTTTCATCTGTTAAAGTCATTCCTTCTTAAATAGTCCTTCCTACTAATTTTCTAGGGAAGTAAATGATAAACCCTTTTCATTACAGAAATTTTAGACGTTTCTGTAGTGCACGTCTGCCCACAGCAGAAAAGCTCCTGTTCTTCCTCAGTCACACTGGCCGTTTCTGCTTATATTGCAATTTTAATAACAGCTTCTTAAAATAGGACAGACCTAATAATCCAGGAGTCTTCTGTCAGAAGAAATGAGATAGCAGGGTGATGATACACCCCATGCAATATTGCTTCATATTCATTTAGTAATTTATTTCTCCCGTGCATTCTCTTAACTGCATCAATGGGACCAAGCAACCATCTTTGATTCAACCTCACTGAAATAATTTCTTTATCAGTTTAGAAATATGCCCCGGTAGAAATCCTGATCCTTTAGAATTTTAGAGTGTTTCTGGCCCTGACATCAACAGCTTGTAATTTGGCAGATGCAGATCATCGGTAATTGAGGAGTTTTGGAAGCAAGTATTAATGTAAGTACTTGGGCATCTTTCAGGAACCAGCACAAGTACATACATGAATCTTATGGATAATTCAGGCTGATCCTAAAGCAAAACTGAATCAATAATGAGATGATACTGGGAACAAAACAATAACAAAACAAAAACCCCAGCAACAACAACAACAACAAATCTCAAGCCCATACTGCAGACACTGTTTGATGGTCCAAGAAAGATGCTCTCTCTGTAAGCCAACTCCTTGAGATTTACTACACTAAAAGACATCCTGGCCATTTTCCATCTTCATGCTAGAATATTGGCATGGGTGCCTAGGAGGAATTTACCCCCATGCATTTCTGTATGTGAGCTGTAAAGATTTGTCTTAGCAGCACATTCTCTATCACTGTCAAAGTACATAGCAGATATTTTAAGAAACATGCAACTGATAAGGTCACATAGACCTATAAAAAAGGTCTGTAGCAGTGTCAGAATCTGCACCTAGAAGCCAAAACTGCAGACTATGACATAATTACGGCAAGACATATAATAGGTGATACCGCATTTCAGGACTGAATATTGCTAGCTGAACTTTGGGGATCATAAGAAAATCCAGTTCACAAATGTGGAATGTCTGAGGCTTGGGAGGTAAAACAAAATGAATGAGATGGGAAGAGG